CCCTGGTAATGGTACACAGGCAGATGTGTAGGAAAACAGATCTGATGTCCAGTATATACCTATCCCTTCTGCTAATGAATGGAACATCAAATGATTTTAACGTCCCTACACTGAGAAACTGCCAGTGTAGTTTTTATCCTTTAAACATGGAGTCTTAAATTCATTTTAAAAAGACATTAAACTTGTAGCAGGCACCATTAAGGTATACAAGAAGAGGTGAAAAATAACAAGACAGACATCTAAGAAATACTGATGTCAGAAAACTAAGGAAATGTATAAGCAAACATGTAAAGCTGCTTAGCCTGCAAAACAAGGGAACAAAGAAACCTTAAGAAAAATGGAGTCCGTCACAACACCACAGGTGAAACATTTCAAAAAGGACTGGCTCTGACCCTTCGTGGGTGTTTGATGCCCACTGCATGAATAATCCAGGAGGGAGGGCAGAGCCAGCAGTCTAGACAGAGGCCACTATGTCTGCAAACTAAAAAGGAAAAAAGCAAACCCTGCAAACCAAGATGGAACCATCTCCACCGTAGGGCTGCATTTTTCTAAATAGGTGCCATCCATCTACCTGCGCAAAGTATGTTCTAGGAAAAATGTGAGCAAGCAGAGGCAGCCAGCCAGGCGGAGAGAAAGCATCCACTGCTCACTGTGTCACTTTCTACTTCAGCTGACCAAAATCCAAGCTCCAAATCAGAAAAACAGGAAAACGGTGTAAGCTGCCTTTGCATGATGCAAGGCAGGTCTTTCGAAAAGTGAGCTGCTATCTGTAGAAAGGAGTTGTTTATCCTGTAGCATCTCTAATAATTTGAAGACAAGGGTGTGAAAAAGGCTTGTGCAAGATTATCCTGTGATGTCATAGAGGCACTGTTTTCAGTAGCAGACATGACAAGATATCAGGTGGACTATGATTTCCCAGGAGCCACATCAGTGACTCATGAGAAACGTGCTGTTGATGACACTAATTTCACCCTCAGAAGTTCATATTTGGTACTTCCCACAGATGCCTTTATTAGACACAGATGGTTCAAAGTCAGACACTGTAGGATATGGCGTAAGTAGGTCATCTTCGCACTCATGATTTCTGTCTACTTTCGTCTTCCAAGGTGAGCTTCCCAGCTGGGGGCTGTCACCTTCCACCCGTCCCCAGATTTGATGTTCTTTTACCCTCGAGGCACACACACACTATTCCGGTAGCCAGGTTTTCAAAGACCAGAATGGTATCAAATCCACTGCTGCTCTCATTCAGTACTCTAATTACTTTATGCCATATTTTCTAAAATATGAATTTTTAAAAAATAGAATAATAAATTTCTAAGTTCCTACTATCTAGATACAAATCTATTAATACTTAGCCATGTGAGTCAGCTCTTATTCCAGAACATGAAAGTATTTCACAGGTGACGCTTGCACACCCCAGCTCCTCCTACGTCCTTACAAGTACAACTCCAACCCTATTTAGTGTGTGCCCACCTCAAATCTATCACTGGCTGCTATAACATGGATCCTGGGAAACTGTCCCTTCCAAATCAAAAAGAAAACTTCATTAGGAAAAGTCCCTTTGCTCTCCCACATCTTCCTGCTTGAAATGTAGATGTGAAGCCTAGACAGAGAGCATCTACTTTGTGACCAAGAGGTAGCAACTTGGGTACATTCTCCTGTTGAAGGACATTTACGGCTGTTTCCAGGTTAAGCTATTAAGGATGTAGTTAAGGGCCGGCGCCATGGCTCACTTGGCTAATCCTCCGCCTGCAGTGCTGGCACCCCAGGTTCTAGTCCTAGTTGGGGCGCCGGGTACTAGTCCTGGTTGTTCCTCTTCCAGTCCAGCTCTCTGCTGTTGCCTGGGAGGGCAGTGGAGGAAGGCCCAAGTGCTTGGGCCCCTGTACCCACATGGGAGACCGGGATGAAGTACCCGGCTCCTGGCTTCGGATAGGCACAGCGCTGGCCGTAGCAGCCATTAGGGGAGTAAACCAACAGAAGGAAGACTTTTCTCTCTGTCTCTCTCTCACTGTCTGTAACTCTCTCTCTCACTGCCTGGCCAAAAAAAAAAAAGGATGTAGTTAAAAATGACATTCTTGAACAGACCTTTGGATGGACCTGCTTTTCATCTCTTACATAAACATACCTAAAGGTGAAAATTCCAGGTCAGGGAGTAAGTATATGGTTCATTTCCTGAGTAACTGTCAAAGAGTTCTCTAAACTGGTTTATTCCATTTTAATCTATCCTCCTTATTCTGCTTAGACAAGTCTTAGTCTTTCATATTTTATATAGACCCTGGGACCAATTTATGAATTTCCATGACAGATTGTTTTGGCATTTTGATTAGAATTTTTTATTCAACATATAGCTTATTTTAGAGAGAACAGAAAATATATGATATTAATGTACTTTTAACAAATAAATGGCCAAATTCAATTTATTGATTTTCTGCTAAAAAACAAAGGTGCAATCATACTTTCCTCATCCTGTCTTTGCATAATGCTGGCGTTAAGGTTGTCCCAGCACCCAAGGAGGAGTTCACGATTGTTTCCACTCTTTTCTCTGGCAAACTCACGTAACACAGAGATGCACACTTTTTAAAAGACTTGATACACTTGTCTTGAAATGTGTCTATCGAATAGTGCTTCTGCTGCGGTAATATGCTCTGACTACTAATTGAGCTTCTTTGAGTGAATGATGGTAATTTGTATTTTCCTAAAAAACTTTGAGTTTTCAAAAATTGATATAAACTCATATCCTTTACTTATTTTAGGTGCTGAAAACTTAAATCGGTCTGCACGGTCTGTCTTTTCTGTGTTTATTCTGGTTGTGTTTCCGTATCTTTTTCTCAGAATTCATGGAAGTTGCAAACACATTCTGTGATATTTTCAGAGTATTTGTCGACCACAGAAGCTTACATGTATGCGGTTTTAAGAAGCACATCTTTCTCCCCTACAAAACTGTTTCTTGTTGAGCAAAGTATGCCTACTGGCCTTTCTCAGATGAACTCAGCAAAAAAAAAAAAACAAAAAACAAAAAACAAAAAACAAAAAAAACAAAAACAAAAACAAAAAACTCTTGTCAGTTTCCTCCTCTTTCACTATTCTTTATGGTGGACAGCCTCGGATATCACTTTCAGAAATTAAAATCAGTTTGAAGCATCTTGTTATCCATGAAATGTCTCCACATAATACATAAGACAGTACTACTATTCTTTGCTTTGTAATCTATATTTCTTATTAGAATTTCATGGGGATAAGCCACAGTCATTTCCTCAGTTTCATAACATTAATTTTCATCTCAAAAATATCTGTAGGCATTGCTTAGACAGCACAATATTATCTTTCAGAGATTCATTTTTATTATGGGACTCTCCTGGTTTTTTTTTTTTTTTCAAAATTACACAAATCTGTGGGGTTAACTTCTTCCCACATCCTCTTCAACCATTCTTCTTTTCTTAAAATTACATTGCTTCCTTCTGTAGTTCTGTTTGTCTGAATTTTACAATTTATTAGTATGATTTTATTCTTTCCTCTTCATTTTTAAGACAACCAGGTACAGCTTCTATAATCAGTTTGTTGCATGCACAGTTTGTGCTATTGTAAATTTAAATAGGGACATGCTGGAAACCAACTTGACTTTAGATTTGCACTGTAGTTTCCCTCTTATTTCTCTGCAGTTCGTCACCATTGATAATAAAACCTCAACCACAAGCAAAACGCCAGACTCTGAGACATTTTATAAAGCAGTAAAAGAACTGTACGTCAGCAAAGTTATTACGGTTCATTAGAAACAGCTGCCGTGGGAAAAATATCATCAAAAATTGCCGAGTTTCTGGAATTTTTATTTTAAGATTCTTTGAACATTGAACTTTTTGCTGACATCATCTTGTTCATGCTTAAGTGCTTAGCATTAGAATTGCAAATGACAAACGGCTACCTGGTTTTATAAGCCCCAATATGATACAAGGCTGGACCAAGAAATGTTCCCCTCGTGTAGTCCTTCCTTCAAGCCACGGTGCTATGGGACTTGATTCTATTTGAAAAAGCTTTGCTTTTGATGGAGTTACTATCAGAGATGATGAGCTGCAGAGAAATAAGAAGGAAAAGATAGGAAGATTCCCTGGTCTTGTGTTGAGTTCAAACAGTCTTACAAACACAATGGTATGTAATGTTATAAAGCTTCTATATACCAATTAAAAAGAAGCTACAGCTGTTTGTCATAGGTACCTGTCATCTAAAGGCTGTCATGAGACTACTCTGAAAGAATTTGAAAGGAAAAAAAAAATCTAATGTGGTCTTAAAAGTTTATTTCATGGATTTATAAATTTGAAAGTCATCTCTTACAAGAAAATTAAGAGCTTATATATCATGAGTCACAAAGAAACTCATGTGGGCTCAAAAAAGGAAAATGAGAAAGAAGTCACTATCTTGTCTTAATTCATTTGTTCATAGATATCAAAGTACAGAAATATAGGAAACAACAAAGAAGTAACAGTCACTGTGCAGATGCGAATAATGCGGAAGTAACTTTGGAAGGCAAGCAGTTGTCTGGAGTCAGTTTGTGTGTGTGGAGATTAACGAGGAGAGTGTTACAGCTGTTTCTTTATCCCAGAAACACTCATTCAGGTCAGGAGCTGCTTGGGAAGGGGCAAGTGTTGCTCATCTGCAGCTCAGTGAGACCAGATGTGAGGGCCTGTTCCACTGAACACACCGTCTGACACCCGAGACACTCAAATAGGCAAATAAACGTGTTTGTAAGCCGTCAAACACATGGTATTTTAAAGACAACTGCACCTGGAGAGATCAAGAACTTCTACAGAAACTCCACTGAGGAGATGGCCGTCAGGGTCTGAGCGGGGTGGTCCTGGTGCCCAGCCCCAGCCACGGTTAAATCTCAGAAGCTGCTAGGAAGAGGACTAGAAACAGAAGGGAGCCAAGGAATGAACTTCTTGTCACTTTATTCATCTCTGTGTGCAGATCACTTTTTTTTTTTCTTTTTTTCTTTTTTTTAATTTAAGAGACAGAAGTCAGAGCAAGCCATTCAAGAGAGAAATGAGAGAAATGTCTGCGGCCGCCAGGGCTGGGCCAGGCCAAAGCCAGGGGCTGCGAACTCAATCCAAGCCTCCCATGTAAGTAGCAAGAAGCCATTACTCCTGGAGTCCGAGCTGGAGCTGGGAATCAATCCCAGTACTTCAATATGAAATGTAGCTATAAATGTCATTTGAAAAAAAAAAATGTTTAAAAGGTAGAGAAGACAGAGTGAGATCGTCCATCTGCTGGTTCACTCCCCAGATTGCTGCAACAGCTAGGGCTGGGTTACACTGAAGCCAGAAGCCTAGAGCTCCATCCAGGTCCCCCACCTGGGTGGCAGAGGCCTGAGTACTTGGGCCAACTTCTGCTTTCCCAGGCATATTAGCAGGGAGCTAGATGGGAAGTATAGCCAGCTGGGACTTGAACTGGCACTACGTTACAGGATGCTGGCATTGTAAGGGGTGGTTTAACCTACCCCTAAATGTTACTTTTTCAGGCAAAAGAAGGAACTATGCGGAAAAAAAAATCTTAACAACATATCCCCAGAAATCTAGGCAACTTTTTTATAGAATCTAGAATCAGTATTGTGGTTTACATTAAAATATTAACAGTAAATATATAGCTATATTAAATATATAAAAATGACTCTAATAGGAACTCAGAGACACGATACCTTAGAACTGACATTGCTGGGTGCCAGTTCATAGGCTAATGCCAGACAGATGTGTAAGATGTATCAGGTGGTTTAAGGACCTGTTCCTCCCCAAGAGGTCCTCATCCAGCACATCTGGGCTGGTCCCTGAAACTCTGTCATTTAAAAAGGAATTCAGATAATTCTTGTGTGTCACTAGGCTTGGCAAACAGCAACTGAATTTAATGGAAGAACTGAGATCCAGAAAGTGGAATTACCTTCCCAGAGACCTCATGGGCTTGTTAAAAACAGAGCCAGGGCTGGAGTCCAGGCTGCAGCATCGTGTCTGCTGCTCCTTAAAGCACAGCAGGCTGATTGTTTGGCGTGCGAGCCCTGGACGTTTCCCTGGTGGAAACAGTGAAGGCATCTGCGGACACCAATGGGACACCTGGAGCAGCACTATACACACAGTTCATTTTCCCCGGAAAACATAACATAAAAGCAGCACCGCAAAGCACACACAAAGCACTAAACAGGCCTGACTAGACTTAGAAAGGGGGATGAGTACCCTGACCATGACCCTGGAAGCATGAGCACCAAAGAAAGTCTTACAAAGAGAGGTATAAAAATAAAAACACAGCCACAATCGCTATATTTAACTACAAAGAATGGCAAATCTCCTCCAGCCAAGCTTCCATCCCAAGAAAAAGGAGAGAACAGAGCGAATGCTCCTTTCCTCGTGAGGTGGCGGCGACTTTTTCCCCCCTGAGCAGGGATTCCACATTGGCACCATTTTTGAAGGCTGAAGGAAAAGAGAAAGTTGGGCAATACCTCTCTCAGGCTGGCAGCTGGGTAGGGAATTATTTATCCATGAAAAAGTTTCACAACCCTCTTCTTGGTTATACATGCAGGCAGAATAAAACATAAAACAGTAATGAAAAGCATAAACTATGGAAGAAAAAATAAAACCTCCAAATCATGGAGGCAGGGCAGCACAGTCGGAGTGGAAGGATCTGCATTCCCGGCTCCACTGCACTGACTTGGGCTGCTCGTTTAGGATCTCATAGTGTCAGCTTTCTCATCTGCAAAGCGGGCTCGTGGTGAGGACATGTTAACACACATGGAACGACTGTCAAGTATAAATGGAGGCACCCATTTGGCCTGGTGGCTAGGACTGGTTGGGATGCCAAGCATCCCATGTCAGAGTGCCTGGATTTGATATCTGAGGCTTCTCCTGATTCCAGATGCCTGCTAATGCAGACCCTGGGAGGTGGCAGTGACAGCTCAGACACCTGGGCGTCTGCCACTTACAGCGGACACCCAGCTGGAGTTCTCAGCTCCAGGCTTCCGTCTCAGCAGGGGGCCATCGTGGCCATTTCAAGCGTGAACCAGAGGATGGGAGTATGTGCTTTCTGTCTGCCTCGCAAATAAATAAATAAAAATGTAAAAGGCTAAGTAGATCCTAATGCAATGGTCAATCACCAAAACAGAACAAGTCTGGAGGAGCTGCCGTCTTATCTACAGGAGTTCATTGCTGTGTCCATCTGTTAAGGGTCAAGCCTCAGTTTCCACAGTGATTCCTGAAATCCTGTAAGCAGGAGACCCAAAGCAAGGCACCAGAGCCCTGTTTGTCTTCCAAACCTTGCTCTAGACAGAAATGGAGAGAATCCTAGTAAGGCAGGTGCTGGCCTAAAGGTAGTTCAGCTTACATCACTGCTTCACCTGCAGCTAACCTTATGAATTTCTGTATCTCCTGCAGCACCTAAACTGACGATTTACTCCAGCTGCAGCCTTTCCTTGTCATTCTGGGGGAAAACAGAGGTTCAAAGATCTGCATGACTTGTTCAGGATCACATGCTCATTTACATAAGCCTTAGGCTCACCTCAGGGACCCGGGGGCTTAGCCTGTGCTGCCTTTTTAGGAGCGAGTTAAACATGCTTATTTTATTTTCTCCAGAGTTGTTACCAACAATGAAAAAGTGAGAATCTATCTTAATCAGCATACTTCTAGGGTGTACTTGTGGTTGTAAGAGCTAATGTAGCGGTGGGTATGAAGAACAGAGGTTGAAGACGGTGCCTGGGATGCCTGCACCTCATAGCAGAGTCCCCAGATTCGAGTCTCAGCTTCCCTTGCAATTCCAGTAAAGCACAGCCTGGGAGGCAGCAGCGAGGGCTCAAGTAGTTGGGTCCCTGCCACCCCTGTGGGAGATCTGAATTGTGTTCCAGGCTTCTGGTTGTGGCATGGCCCAGCCCCAGCTGTCATAGCACTTGGGATGTGAACCAGTGGATGGAAGGTTGCTGCCTGCATTTCAAATAAATAAAAAGACCTTAAAGTATATATTTATGGAGAGGGAAACAGATAAACACACACTGAGGCTGCAAGTGTACAAAAGTCGCTGTGGGTGAGAAGGTAGATTTAGTCAAGAGAACCTGGCTGGGTTCAAACCCAAGTCACCACCTGCCCAAACTGGCAAATCATTTGATCTATTTGAGAATCAGTCTTCTCATCTATAAAATGGGGATGATAGTTCCTACTGAACTGCTGTAAAGATGGATTATTTATGAAGTGAGACAATCAATAGAAAAGTGTTTTAAGAGCAAAGATGCTAAAATTCTTAAGGAAAAAATAACAATGGAAATGGTAAATAATGCTAAGTGTATCAATAAAATGTTTAACAAATAGAATGTATAAGTATTAAAAATATAAATAAATTACAGCATTAAATAATTTGGAAATTGGTCAGTTTATACTGAGGACTGAAAAATTAACACTATCTTATTTTGGAAGCAATTTATGTCAAAACAAATGGTATCTGTCCTTGAAATCAGGCCTAGAGACATTTTATGTTTCTAAAGATACAGGATACTTTTAAACTTTGTTGAGTAATTAAGCTACTGTTTGAATATTTGGGGCCCGTGTGTTACTGTTCTGCTCCTGAAAGTCTTAGGTTAATGATACCAAGAGGGTGGGAACCTAATCCAATTATGTGTTTGGAAACGGGGCCTTTGAGAGATGGTTAGTTTGACAGGGTCAAGCCCCATGGTTAAATTCTGGAGGCTTTACAGAACACCACATGACACAGATAGAAACATGCATGCTCCTGCCGTGTGGTGCCCTGTGCTGTCACCACAGGCTGGATCCATGGACCCAACTGCTCTTGGGCCTGTGGTTCTCCAGAACCACCAGCCAAATTAAACTTCTTTCCTTCATAAAGTTAGTCACCACATGTATTTTGTTGCAATGAAAAGTTGACAAATTGTAACAAGCTCTAAAACCATTAATAAAACAAACATTGATAGTATAGTTGATACATCAATTTTTTAACTTCAGTTATGTCATAGGTATCATGCTAAATAATGCTAAACTTCAGTGAGAGGTTACATTTTAGAAAACATGACTATAAAGCTGAGTTCATGTTTTTTTCCCACAGCCTTACCCTCTCTCTTTCCAGTTAACAATTGGCTAATAAATGACCTTCCAAAACATTTTCAGTGCCCAAAGAAGTTTTAAAACTGTATCATAAATAGACTGCTCTATTGTAAACTCCCCTTAGAGATTTCTAGTGTATACTAGTAAGAAGTATAGCTGCCTAGAAGCCCTGGGGCAGCATTTTTTTGTTTAACAAATGGGTCTTAAAATCCACTGGAATCAATATGCCACCCCACACAGAGTAGGCTTCAAATTCTTGGAAATTCATGGACTTGCAAAATTTCCCCCAAATTTTGAGGATTACTGGAGTTGTCAATTTTTTATTTCACTAAATGAGACCATATGAAAATCAACTACAGTTTTATGATCCAAGTAAAACTAAAAAGAATCAAAACCATGAACGCAAAACTCTTGAAACTGCAAGGGGCTCTATAGATTGGTTTATTTTCATAGCAATCCCTAATAGGTTGCCTAGAGAAACAAAATAAATGGCTATTAATGAAAAAGAACTGTCTTTCCCACAGAACAGAAATCTAAACTCTCCATTGGTTAGGTAGGAAGTACCCCAGAGACTCTCTGAGACCTGTCCCAGTAGGCCATCTTCTCTCGGACTCTTCCAACAATACAACTGTGCTTCAGTGCGGCCTACAGGTGTGGCAGTTTCCATGCTGCTGCACCTGCCCTCTGGGCACCACCCTCTCCTGGGAGAAGCCAGTCCTTGGCAACCACAGCTCTCAGGGCTCACTGACAAACAATTCTGAGCCTCCTTAACACATCACCCAGCTGCACACTTCCATGTTGTGAGGGAAAGCTCTCTGTGTATCTTAAAATACAATTCAGATGATAAAAATATTGATTTAGCAGCTGTTTTGGTGGGTGGTTTCTATGTTAGGCATTCATTTTGCATCTAATAGTAATTTTATTTTTATTTCCAGTTGACTCAGAACTATGCAAATGTATTCATTAAAAATGAATGGGCAGTGAGACCACAGTGGTGTCCATAAGCCTGGTTCTCTGGAATAAGAGCCTAGTACGGG